ATATATATATATATATATATAAGGACTTGACTAAATCCTTGCCTGAAGCCAAAACTTATTGTTTCTTGATGTATGGTTAAAGCTACACAAAGCTAGAGTGGACAATAGAAATGTAGAAAGTGAAGATGGCATTGGAAGGTTTGTTGGCTTGGCATAGTGATTCCTGTCTGGCCACTAAAAGCGCATCAACAATTTGCGAGGGAAGTTGTCGTGACATTGATGTACAATCTGCCGACAGGACTTATGCGGACACGAATCAATGTAAAATGTTAGACAGATGTATCTGTTCAAATGGACGACAGAGAAGGCATGTGTTCCGATGGGATGGGAAATTAATCTTGCAGTATGTGTAAGGACAATATATTGATACATTAAATTAATTTAAATTAATAATGATTAACTTGTAAAATTTATGATTTAAAATATGAGATAATAATAAAATAAAAAAACTCAAACTAAAATAAATTAAAAAGTTTCATTATAACGAACCAAGTATTTAAGACAGAAAGAAAGAAAAATATAAAATTAAAAAAAAAAATAACTTGAGTAAATACATATCAGCTGCGAGTACGAGTCACACAGGCTAAGGCAAATTGTTTCTAACAGCTCTCCACCCAGACATGCAGCTAACACTTCGAGCATTTTACAAACCTGGTGCCTTTTAGCGCCTGCCAGCTTTGACAGCAGTAGTTCAGACATCTTTGCTCCGGTGATCTTCTTCAAGCAGAAATTGAGTCCGAATCTGAAAATGGGATGGCATAATTAATCTTTACCATATGTTTGTTTTTTTCAAGTACAAGTCAATACCTTACTGCGTTGTGATTTCCACGTTGTCGTCATTACTAATTTTCTTCTTGTTATTATATTGTTTTGCTGGTCATAAATTGTTGGCTGGACTTTTTTACACTTGCCGGATGGTTGTAGCAGTCTGAAAAATATTATTTTAATTTATTTTTAAATAAAGAATATTTTTAAAAAATAATTTTTACAGCCCTCCCAAATAGTCGTATACAGAAAGAACATGGGTTGGCCATGGCATATTTATCAAAAATATCTTAAAATTATATATACTCATTACAAAGATGCATTTATATGCTTGCAGATTGAAGGAAGACGCTGGGAAAAAGAATACACATTCCGAATATTCTGTTAGTTAGAATAAGAAAACAGACGAAAGTAATAAAACTAAATCCACTACGTTTCCTGCCTTGTAATATATATATATATATATATATATATATATATATATATATATATATAAATCACATGAGGATTTTATGTCACACATATATTTTTTTTTATTAATGTGGGTATTCGTACTAGTTTGTGCACATCACAATGAATCTCACGGCCCACTGAATATTCTGCAAGTCCAGTGAACAAGTAAAGCATCGCGAGAATGATAAACATACTACACACAGAGGAACTAATAAAAATACAAAGAAAACCATTGATACTGAGACTCAAATCAAAGTTTGAAAAAGAAAAACAGCGCCTGCGACTGAGCCACAACCTGCTTGGTTGTCACATAATTTTCTGAGCGTACAGGTGGCTTCATTTTTTGTAAAGCGGGCTCAAATCAGAACGAGATGCCAGTCCAATTGCATCAGGTCCAAAGGCCCACAAGAAACTCCGCTCATGTATGAGCTTAATGGGCTGTCAGGAGCATGGCTTCCTCTATTATTGACATACACAAACCCAAAACATTTAAATAACGTGACAAAATCCATTACCGGGAAGGCGAAGACCGAGTAAATTATAACTCAATCACTGTATTCTATCAACATTAATTAATCAGTTCTTTTATTTATTTAATTAAAATTACCTTCTTTCCTCCTCAAGATCTCTCATACTGGTTTCTTCTTTCTTTCTTTTATTTTTCAAGAAAGAGAATTGAAAAACACACAAGTAACTAATGAAAAAACTAAGATGTCAATAAATCTTGAGACATGGGATTAGATATATAGTTTCAAGAAATACAAGGACTAAGTTATAATTAACTGGGGGAGATTTCAAAGTTGAGAAACTTTGATTATTAAGACTCCTCTGGAAATTTTACGGCGTGGAGGTAATTAATGGCATTTAAAGACAAACAAGGAGCCAAATAAGATAAAGACATCTTCGCAAACTATTCTTGTTCTTTACATCTATCAGGAGTAATTAATAGTACTGCATCCACGCTTTTCTTTCCCTGAAGAAAACAAATAAAAATAAAAAGCGCAAAGGTTTTTTCTCGTTTCTATTCTCTTATGTACTTGATGTAACGATTTAGAAGTTTCATGCTTTCTTCATGACTACAACTTTTTTTATAGTTAAAAAAGATCTTTGTTGTCATCTAATTTTTATGCTTAACTTAATCTGCTTGCATTTTTTCCTTTTCTTCATATATTATAGGTTTTTCTTTATATAATTCAATGGCGACTTCTGAATTCCCAACTCAAAAGGTAATATCATTATACCATATATAGATAGATAGACAGACAGATAGATAGATATTGTACGTGGGTGTGTGTAATGTAAGATTCTTCCACTTGTTTTCAGTTATTAGAATTCCTGAATTTTTAGTATCCTTTGATATTATCATCACTATGTGTGTCAAAGTTTAGTATTTTTGGTGGCAGGAAGGAAGCGAAGCTTTTTTACAGGAAACCACTGTGGTGGTATTTGTCTTAGGTGAGCATTCCATATCACTTCCTTCACCACTTGATTTGTGCTCAGTGATTGTTTCTTTTTTTTTTCTTTTTTTTTTGAAGTACTGGTCAAGGAACTAAACACCATCTTTATCTATTTCTGATCCCTTGTTGTCATCGGTGGGCAAAGAGGAGGGAAGACTCTTTAACTTGGGCTCATGATTTAGAGTGTTCTAAGAGTTGAACTCTTCTTATTTAATGAATGATAGATGTAATATTCCTGGGAGGGGTGGTGGCTATGATTTGTTCTTTTCACCGTCGTTCTCATGGTTGAAATGATTGTTGTTGTTTTGCTATGAAAGAGAATAATTCTCATTTGTTTTCAACAATTTCAAGTCTTCCCGTACACTTAAACTTCCAGTTAGGGGAAATGGTTGAATCCAAGAGCTGTAGAGGAAATGAAGGAACGCAAAAAATAGATGTCTTGGAGCACTGATATTCTATCTGCATGATCTTTTAGCTTGTCATTCTGCCACCCCATTTGATTGAAATTCCATGACCTGATTACTCTTTGCAGGTGGTCCTGGTAGTGGAAAGGGCACTCAATGTCCCAAAATTGTTGAACACTTTGGGTTTAGACATCTTTGCGCCGGTGATCTTCTTCAAGCAGAAATCGATTCTGGATCTGAAAATGGGTTGGCATTACGAATCTTTAATTTCTACCATATGTATTTTTTTCCAAGTTCAGGGCAATACCATACTGCATCATGATTTTCATGCTGTCATCACTAGTACTTTTCTTCTTGTTATTATATAGTTTTGCTGGTCACAAATTGTTGGCTGCTTTCTTCACGAATTCCTCTTCAATTGTACCACAAAGTGTTCATTGGTGTCCTCATTTTTTCCATAGAACAATGATTCAAAACTTCAAGAAAGAAGGAAAGATTGTCCCTTCTGAGATAACTGTGAAGCTTCTACAACAGGCGATGCAGCAAAGTGATAACAAGAGATTTATCATTGATGGTTTCCCGCGCAATGAGGAAAATCGTGCTGCATTCGAGAACATTGTAGGCTTGGAATTTTATTATGTCAATTCAAAGTTTTATAACCTGCTGCTTCTATTGCTTCCTAAATTTTAAATCCTTTCATTCCTACAATTTTATTGATTTTGTTGTTCCTTCTTGATCCCCACACCGTTTCTTGGTAAGAAATCTAGCAATTTTTCATTTCTGTAATCATCATGCAGGTGAGAATCAAGCCAGAGTTTGTATTATTTTTTGATTGTCCTGAAGAGGAGTTGACAAAACGTATTCTGAACAGGAAGCAGGTTAGCTTGTTGCACATTCTTGTGGCTGAATCACTTCCAATGCATCTCTTCACGACTTTCTCTTTGTCTTTTTGAAGGGAAGGGTGGATGATAACATTGAAACCATAGGAAAGCGACTTAAAGTCTATTTCGAGTCAACCTTACCTGTAATCAACTACTACAACTCAAAGGGGAAGGTTCAGAAGGTAATTTTTTTTGTCAGAAGCTCACTGACTGTATACACATTACATTTTTTCAATGTATCGTTTTGAATCAGTTATGTTATTCAAAATTGCTTCTGCTTTGGATATATGGTTATGAAAGCATAACAGGATGGTCCTGAAATTTTCTTTCCTTCCAATACTTTTGGTATTTTATATGTTAAGGATAATCATAATCTACATCTGATTTGATTTCTTTTCTATCGTTATTATGGTGGTTGTTGATGTTTGTATTCACTATCCTAGATTGATGCTCAAAGATCAATTGAGGAGGTATTTGAGGATGTGAAGAGTGCTTTTGCCAAGCTCAAACCAGTGGCCAGGGTGGGGATCAACGAAATAATGTGACATCCTGGGATTTGCTTCATGACAGTAGTTTCCTGAGATTATTGGTCAGATCTCTTCAACTTGTAGGATGAAACATCAGTTTAGTAGTGATTGGTAGGAAAAGATCTTCTACAGTCCTTTTGACAATCAGTTTACATCTTAGTTTAGAGATGGTGAGTTAGTCTTTCAATTAATAAGCTAACCATGGTTAAAGAGTTTGGAATGAGGAAATGGTGGTTGCTCTCATTCCTTTTCTGATGCCAGAATGATTAGAAATAGAAGGGTTCCTTTATGATTTTCTTCGAATTGCTTTAAAGCTATGAATCATGAAAGTGGATACCAGATGTGTATGTCATACGTAGAGGTTAAGTTCTGATCAGAAGGAAAGACCAGAAAGCCTCTGAAATGTGACTTATTGGGGAAAAATCTTTTCAATATCTCTTTCACAGAGGTAAGATCATAACCAAGATGGAACCCTTTTTCTGGCACTCCAAAGCTTCACTATAGCAATTATGTTTTTTCTTCTCATTGATTTAAATTCTAAATTCTGAGGCTTTTCATGCATATTGAATTCGCATGTAAAAGATGTGTTTGAAACATAACAAAGTTTCTGATATTTTGGTTTGGGACTAGACAAAGCCTCCCCGAAACCAGTTCTTAGTAAGGTTACAAGTTGTTTGCACTGGCAGTCCCCTCTTTTCAAAACAAAGACAACAACGATTAACAGTACAAGTTTATTGAAGACGATCGCTTGACAACACATTAAACCCAAAAGAAAGAAAAAAAAAACGGAGAGCTGATACAAATAAGAACACACAGAAACTTCAAAAAACTGAAGAGTTGTTTTAGTCCCTGTTATATGTTAGTGCAGGTTTCTCCACTTCTCCCCATCCTTATTAGTGGAGCTACCCGGACCATCTTTGCTGGTTCCAGCTGAGGAACTCCCACCATCAACTCCCCATAAGTGTAATAAAAAAGTTGTCAATGAAGCTCAATAGCGCCATCAGATCCTCTTCAGAACATGATTCAGATGTCACTACTATGGTGACCTCGTTTGTTTCAGGGCTCGTAGTTGAGCAATGACTCATATTCAGATACAGCAGTCTTCACTATTTCATTGTTGCCATTGGTGGTGGTGGAAATAGCTTCTACTTCGTAAGACATCACTTATGCTACATGCCCTTCCTTTCTTCGGCACAGATTTCAACTCTTACCGGTACATATGCGCTTATCTTTCCACTGTGGACCTCTTTATATGGCTATCTCCTTTGTTTTTCATGATAGCCGAGCAGAATGTAGCATTTGAATCATTCATATTTATTTAATTCAAAATTAGACTCATTTATTTTTTTTCCTTCAATTTTTTTTCAATGTTTTATTTATTAAAAATTAATCTTTAAATTTTCTTTTATTTTGATTTATATAAGTTTATCACATTCTCATTTAATTTTTTTTCATTATCATTTAAAAACCTTTGACATTTGATTTTTTTATAAATTAATTTTTAATTTTAATTTTAATTTTCTAATTTTTAATTGGTTGAGAATTAATTTTTATATTTTTACTTTTTATATAATTATTTTAATTTTATATGTGTGATTGCGAGATTAGTGAGTTATCTTGGTTTATTTAATTTTTTTAATTGTTAAGGTTTTTATTTTAGTTTTGTCTTTTAATATTAATTTTTTTTAATAATTGAATTTTATGATTTTATTTATTTTACTTTAATGAGGTTACTTGATGTTATGACTAAATTATATATTTGGTGTGCTTGGTTTTTTTTGTTTTTTTTAAGTTGATTTATTGTTATATTTTTTATTTATTTTATTAAATTAATCAAATTTATTAAAATTAATTAAATTAATGACATGAGTTTGAGATTGTTTTTTACCATTTTTTTTTAAGAGACGCTTGCCCTGCATTACCATTTTTGGTTTTTACATTGAAAAAGAAGAAGAAAGAATTAGCCCACGCATTGCCCTGGCTACCTATTATATGTGTAGATCAAGAAAACAGAGCACTGCAGATTATGTGTTGATCAAGAAAACAGAGCCCTGCAGACAAAAAAAAAAAAGATCACCGCATTTGGCAAAAAAATAAAAATAAAAAAATCAATAATAGTCGTCTGATGCTCATTGCCTTTACAACAGTTTGCCAAAATTACATGGTTTATTCTCTCTCCTTTTCTAGCTTATTGAATTTCCCAATCTACTCAATTTAATTTTTCAATTTAGGTTTTGTTTCACTGAGAATTATATTTTAAAAAAAATTCTGAAGTAGTAAGTGTTCTTGTCCATCACCTATCAAATTGGATGTTGAGTCCAGTATCCTGGGTCTTTTTTTATATTGTTGTTGTTGTTGAGGGAATACAATTTTATATGTGAAAGGAAAAAAAAATTGAAAAAAGAAGTTTGATTGAAAAAAAAAATGAAGCTGCATTAACTTTCTCGATTTTTCTTTTTTTATAATTGGGTAGTTTTAGTTGTTTATAAATAAAGCATGGATAGGATGAAATCCGATTCAAGATTTAATCCAAACCATATATAAAAAATTTATATTTGTATCATTATATATATAACATATTTCAAATATATATTATTTTTATTTTATGTTGAGTAATAAATAGTATTTAAAAAATAAATATCCAAATATACGAGGTTAGAAGAATATTATATAACTATTTAAATCATGTATAATGTTCTGAGGATAAATATAATAAAAGCTCTATTTGTGAAAATTCATTATCAGTAACATCCATATCTAGAAATCTTTTGGTATAATTGCAATTGCTTTTGTATTTTTCTCAACTATATAAAAAAAAAATATTCCGTTAAATAAATAGCTTTTACTTTTTGTATAGAATGCAACACATAATTGTGTTTCAAGCATTTATTTTTCAGTAGCTAAAATAATTTGTTTTTGATAGATTTTATACACAAAAATCTATTTCACAATAATTTTAATTAAATATATATTTTTTAAAATCACAAATAAAAATATTTTTTAATCTATTTTTTAAAAATGTAATTATAAAAACAATCACAGTACATAACCCACAATTAATCATCATCAAGCAACGACATTTCGTGGTAGCAAGTGCACAACTTTCCTTCTTTATTTTCATTTTATATTTTGTGTGGAAGTGAACATGTGTAATATGTGGTTGTTCATCGATAATCCAACTATCCTCATTGTTAAGTCCAAGTACTTGATTTATCCAGGATCAAGGGCATAAAAATTATGAACTCTAACAATAATTAATATGGAAGCCGAGGAATCTAATCTAGTTTTGACCAGTCCTGCTATGATTGAAAGTTGCACTGTACCAAAAAAAATCCAATCAGCTCAAAGACAGATAATTTATTCCTTTTAATTAAGGCGGTTGTGTCTATATCTGAAAAAAATTCTTATTTAATAAATTTAAAAACTCTTTAATATTTAATTAAGTATAGTTTTATAAAAAAAACATATTTAAAAGAAAATTTGAGAATAGATATATATTATAGAATAAAGAAATTTTAGAACCCGGCCCTTTGAAGGATTTCATAGTCTCTTTTTATAGCCCAAAAAGAAAATAACTGAAGTGTAAGAAAAATATCTTTAAGTGGATAAAATATTTGTGGCTCGTTGTTTATATATGAATCCTAAGATCCTCGGGTCAAAAAAAGTCCACGCTTGATACTTGGCTAAGGTAGGTTGCGTTGAATTATCAACTTATTTTTTATTATTTTGAAAAAGAAAGTTGAGGTAAAAATAAAACGTACTTACACGTAGAAAGCCATTAGTTCATAGATTCATGGGGGAAAAGAAGAGAGGAAATGCTTGCTAATAAACAAGAACATGAAGAGTTGTAATAAATAATGAAAATAAGGCAGAATAACCTCCATATAATCATACACAGTGGAGGGAGAGCGCCATCACCATTGATCTTGATGAAAAGTTGTACAGAAAGTGAGCTAACAAGAACACATGCCTGTTGACTGAACTATTATACGGTCCATCAAGTAGCTGATGATCCATCTCCACCTGCTGCTTTCACGTGACGCCATGCGAGATCACTTTATCTTCCCTTTTTTTTATATATGAAGTGTGAAACTCAAAAAAGCTGAAAATGAAAAAGAGCGAGCCTTTGCTCCCCCAATTAAAAGCTGTTTTGGTGCCTGTGCAATTCACTCAACTTGCATTCCCTGCCTCTCTGTATGTTTTCAACGCTCTTCTCGATAACCCTCTGTTTCTCACCATCACGTTCTCTTCAATACTAAATTATGTTTGTGTCTGAAATGAATCCTTTCATAAATCGAATAGTATAAGCATTGACGTACTCACTGACACTGCCACTTACCGTGTCCTCCCATTTCATTTTCATGCCACAAAAATACACCAGCTTAATTTTAACCATACATATAAAAATATAGATAAAAGCTCATCTATATTCGTTATTTTCTGTACTTGCAATGCCATTAATTTGTTACTCTCACAGCTCACAGCCCACCACTGCCCTGTCAAAGACGACTCACGGTTAAAAATAAAACTATGAAGAGGGCACACACGCTAGCATCAGGCAGGGAACACCCCATCATCTTTACTTTACTTCAGTTTCTGGCTCTTCCAGATATAATGTTTTTCTAGAAGGGTTTGCTGTAAATGCAGCAGCTTGGTTTAACTTAACCTTCTTTATCTTTTAATTTGATGGGGAAGAAGGGAGGTAGCTCATGGTTGACCGTTGTGAAAAGGGCTTTTAGATCTCCTAATAAAGAAAATGACAAGAGAACTGCTGGGATTACAGGCCATGACCAAGAAGAAGATGAAGAAAAGGTCTTTTTCGCATATCTCATTTTATGTTATCTGTTGAAAACTTAATATTTTTTTCGTTTCCTCGCCTGTTTTTGAGCTACAATGGCTGACTCTTTTGAGGGCTTTTCTTCTAGCAGAAGAGAGAGAAGAGGAGATGGTTGTTTAGGAAACCTACGAATCAAGAAACAGTGACACAACAGATCCTATCAAAGACAGGAAATGTCAAGGCCTCCACAGGTGGTGGTGGAGGTGCACGGACAGACCAGGTGTCGGCAGCTGCAGCAGCTGAGCAAAGGCATGCAATTGCTGTAGCTGTTGCCACTGCAGCTGCAGCTGAAGCTGCTGTAGCCACTGCCCAGGCGGCCGTGGAGGTGGCTAGGCTCACTAGGCCTTCTTATCACCCTAGAGAACGTTCCGCTGCCATTGTCATTCAAACCGCCTTTAGAGGATACCTGGTAATTATAAGCAACTACTGTATATATAGCTGTAGATGCTAAAAAAAATTGTTCTTTCTTGAATAGCAAATACTTAAGGAATCATTCATGAATTATCAATTTTTATCATGATTAGGAGAGATTATAGGTGTCAATTTGTGGTGTGTGTGCAGGCAAGGCGGGCTCTTCGCGCGCTTAAAGGGCTAGTGAAGTTGCAAGCTTTAGTGAGGGGACACAATGTGAGAAAGCAGGCCAATATGACCCTGAGATGCATGCAGGCTCTGGTTCGAGTGCAGGCCCGAGTACTTGACCAACGCATGAGGCTTTCACATGAAGGCAGCAGGGAATCTGCATTCAGTGACACCAATAGCGTGTTTGAATCGCGATATCTTCAAGAAATTTCAGAAAGAAAATCGATGGTAATTTGTTAGACTCTTTCAAAGCATCTCTTAGCATTTCATTTTGGTCATGCTTTGCTGATTCTTAATTCAAAGCAATAACAGTAGCAAAAATGAAAGAAACTTTCTACTAATTAATGACTCTTGATTTTATACTTCGAAGTTTTGAGAGTCTAATGTAGTTCAGCATCGAATCAATTTTAACAGTCAAGAGACGGCAGTAGCATTGCAGATGATTGGGATGATCGGCCACGCACAATTGAGGAAGTCAAGGCCATGTTGCAACGCAGGAAAGACAATGCATTCAAGCGTGAGAAGGCCTTATCTCAAGCTTCCTCTCAACAGGTTCATTTCTTGCACAATGCACTGCTGCCCTGTTTGTTTGTTTTTTTCTGTTAGGAGTTCAGCTTATAAGCTAATTGATTCAATTTTTTCAAACCGTATCAAAGATATGGAGAAACCGTAGAAGCCCATCAATGGGCAATGAAGGTGAGCTCCAAGAAAGATCACAATGGCTTGATCATTGGATGCCTGCAAAGCCGTGGGACAATAGCAGCAGAGCACGAGCCTCGACTGATCAAAGAGACCCCATCAAAACTGTAGAAATTGAAAACTCCCTGCCTTGCTCATACTTAGCTCCTAATTTTGGAAGAACGAACCAAAACCAATATCACCAACACCAGAGATCCAATTCAATAAACAATGGTGTTACACGCTCGGCTCCTCCTCCACTCCATAGAGCTCATCAAAATGCTTCTCTCCACCACTCTCCTATTACACCCTCCCCGTCAAGAACTAGGCCTCTTCAGGTTCGTTCAGCGAGTCCCCGATGTGCTAGAGAAGATAGGAGCTGTAATTCCTCTCGAACACCGAGTTTGAGGTCCAATTACCTCTATAATGGCAATCTGAATCAACATGGAATCAGGGGCGGTGCTGCTAGTGTTAGTGGAAATGCTAACGCTACATTGCCAAACTACATGGCTACAACAGAGTCTGCCAAGGCTAGATTGAGATCACAGAGTGCGCCAAGGCAAAGACCATCAACACCAGAGCGAGACAGGGCTGGGTCTGCAAGAAAACGGCTTTTGTATCCAGTCCCCGACCCTTACGGTGTCGGGATGGGTTATGGTGGTGTTGGTTACGGGCATGGTTTCAGGAGTCCCAGCTTTAAAAGTGTAAGTGGTTCACATTTTGGTGGATTAGAACAACAATCTAACTATTCTTCTTGCTGCACCGATACCTTTGGTGGTGAGATTTCCCCTTCTTCAACGAGCGACCAGAGAAGGTGGTTGAGATAATTTAATAATGCAGTTGGTGGGCTAGCTTAGAGAGAACATGTTCAGGTTTTTGTGACTCATTAGTAGTTGGGGTATAAGGCATAGTTTTTGATATCTGGAGGTTGGAATTTGGATTTTCTTTCTTTTTTATAGCATTTCAGTTTTTGATAGTTTTATTTGTTTGAAGTTGTAATTCCTAGTTGGAACTTGTTTCAAGAAAATTCTTTACCTTTTTTTGTTGTCAATTGACTCACACCACTTCGAATCAGAAGTTTTTTTTTAAAAAAAATATGCGTGCATTATTTGTGTATTTTTTAGTAAAAAAATTGATTATAAATCTATTTAATAAAATAAAGTGAAAATTATATACATCAACAAAAAAATAAATCAAAGGGTAAAAATGTATACAGAAATAAGCTCTTTATTTTATTTTATTACATAATAATAATAAAAAAATAGCAAGAAGAGTAATAATTCAATTGAAATTAAATAATTCCATGTCAAATTTTCTTTTTTTTCTTAATAAGTTTCCCTTTTGTTTATTAAGATGGCGTGTTTCAAGGGTTGTTTAGAAAACATAAGATATGAAATTAACAATTGTTTTAAAATAATAATAAAGGATAAATAAAAAGACTTATATGATTTGCATCTGAGTTATATTAGCATTATTATAGTAAATTTAGGATTTAGTAGAATAGTTCTAAAATACTGATTTAAGTTGTCTGAAAACTATAAAATTACATACTTGGATTGATATAAACTAATAAAAATCATAGCATGATAATCATGTCACTTGGATTGATAAATGTGAAGTAAATAATGAAATAGAAAAATGAATTCATATTTGAAAGCGACAACTAGAGTTTAAAAATGTATAAAGAATGTTGGAATCGGATTGATCATAAGAACAATGATTGAATTAATTAATTAATAAGTTTAATTATAGAAATGATTGATTAAAAAATAAGAAATCAAGGAATTCTTAATTTTATGTTGCATATCTCTTAATAATTGTAATGATAATGGGTTAAATTGCAATATTATTTGCTTGTTTCAGGTTCAATTTTGGTGCATTAGAAGTAGTAACTTAATACTACTTTTTTTTATAATCTTTTTAGCTATAAGTAGTTATTATGAATATTAAAACATCTTATATTTTTTGTATTTGTAAATAAATAGATTATGAATTTATAATATGTGATTTAAATGCTTTTATTTTCTTGCATCTATATAAGTTATTCATTTTAATGTTTATGATTTTATTATGGTTTGGATGTTCTTTTATTTATTCCATTTGCAATTGTGTTTAGTGCTAAAATGAGGTGTCATGCATGAAAGAATATGGGAAATTATTTTTAAAATAATAATGTGATATGATTAAAGATGATTGAATTTAAGATTTAAAAAATTATTTTTAAAATGCATAAGTATTTGTTGACAATTTGAAACGTCCTTGATATAAAGAAAACTATACTAAGATTTCAGTAGTGCTCGTATAAATATTTTGAAATGTATACATAAAGAAAAAATAAAATCTTTTTCCTTAGTTTAAAATGTTTAAAAATATTTTAAAAAATAAAGTTGTTAGAAATAAGAAATGACTGATCTATATTATCAAATCTCTCACACACATAACAACTTGCTATTATTTTTAAAAGAAAAAATGGTTCCCTCCACGTATTTTTTTTTATTTTATTTGCGAGCATGGGAGGGTCATGACCCCTAAAACTCCTCCATTAATGGAATACAAGAATTAAAAAAAGCCTTAAAATTCACGGTGGTAGGAGAAACAACATGGGTTGATGTATGATAGCCTCAAGGTGATTTTGCCTGGTTTTGGAATCTGCAGTCAAAACCATGGAAGATGGATTTACTGTTTCCTCCTTTTTGTTTTTTGTTTTAAGAGTAAGGGTGTTCTGGATAATGATAAAAATTATTTTTTAAAATATTTTTAATTTTTAAATATATTAAAATAATTTGTAATATTAACCCAACCAAACAATTAAAAAATTAATTTAAAACAAGAAAAATTCATATAAAAACCCTACACGCATCACTAAACACCCCCGATAGTGATGCGTTGTTTCTGTATTCCTATTATATCGTAATTCTATAGTAATCGCCTTTTGGTTAATTTATTTATTCGGGGTGTCCATCCATAATGGTTTCTAATATTTTTAACTTTTAACTTGTTAAAATTAATTGGGGTGATAAATGGATATCCTTCTTGCTGTGGTAAATTCTAGAACACAATAGCTAAGGGAACACTCTTTCACATGATTCATAAAAAATAAAACAAAAAAGAAAACACTAACTAATTTAAAAGTACACATGAAAAAAGAATGAAAAGTGTGTGTTTATATCATATTTGTTTTTGTATTTTAAAAATAATTTAAAAATATTTAAAATTTAAATTGATGTTTTATAATATTTTTAAATTATTTAAATATTAAAAATAATTTTTTTAAAAATAAAAAAATTATTTTAATAATTTTTTAAATAAAAAACATTTTTAAAAACTCCAAACATATTATTAAATTCGTTTTGTAAGCAATCGTTTTCTCTCTAAAAAAAGCTTTGAACTACCAGCACTCCCAGTCACGCGCAGCACAATATGCGGAGGGTGTTATTGTCATTTAGGGGAGATCCAGCTGACATCGAACCAATATGTCGTGTCGTGAAATGCGAAGCAGTGCACTGCTATTATAATATCCTCCGTCACACCAGATCAAAAGGGAGTTTCCTAATTAGGGTCTTCTGGGAGAGATAGATAGAGAGAGAGAGAGACCCAATCTCATTTGAGTTTTTCGGATAACAACTGCGAAGAAGAAAATAAGCAGAAAGAAAAGTCGCACGGAGCAGAAAAACCACAAAAGCTTAAAAAAAGAAAAGAGAAAAGGAAGTCACTGGTACGCTGCTAATTCTTCCTTTTTCCTTCTGTCTAGTTTTCTTTCACTCCTTTATCGCTCTCTCTGCCGCAAAGTTTTTTTCCGGTATATAACGCTTTGCTCAAATTCGGCGGTTTTTTATCTTGAAATGATTTTTTAGCTTGTTGATTTGGAATCTGCTACCCATGTTTTTCAATTTAGGGTTTTGTTATGCTGATTTAGGCCAGTCTATTTGTAGATTTGTACCAAGTAAGTAGGGTTTAGGGTTTGATTGCTATTCCTCGTTGTCATTCTAAATCTTGCCTTTCATGTTTGGTTTCTGGCTGTTCTGGGGATTTTTTTTGTTGTAATTAGAGTAGGATTTTTGAAGTCTGTTTATGTTTTTGTGTGTGAATTTTCTTGAACCACCCTAGAAATGTTGACCAATTAGAGATAGAATAAGACCTCGTATATCTGCTTATTGATTTAAAAGTTTGATTATTTGTTGTGTTTGATTACGTTATATATATATGTATGTATGTAGTGCGTTTAGATTCAAAATCTTGGACCATTACTTTGATTGGGAGTAAACAGTTTCTGATGAAAGCTTATTCCTTAGAAAGATATTATACTTGTAGTTCAACTTTATGCATTTTTTGCCGCTATCAAGCTCTTCTTTTCTTTTAATAAATAAAAGAGAATAATAATGAGCAAGAGAAATGCAGATTTTAACTTAATTCAGCCAAGTAACGCTATACTACCTATGGAATCTGAGTGGTTTTTCTGTTCCTGTTTTTGTCTTTGTCAGGATCAAATGCAAAGGACAATTAGGTTTTTTATTTCATTTTCCTTTCATCTTTGGAGAACTATAGTTGCTCTGTCCATGATAGAAACTCCGCAAAATACTATAACATACTCCACAAATACTATAACATACTCCACAAATGCTGTAACATACTCCAGAAAATGCTATAACTACTCCACAAATGTTAAAACATGCTCCACAGACCACAAATACTATAACATTTTTTTTTATTGCAAGTCGTTTTGGCCCTACATTTCTGTAGCTTCCCAGCTCTAATCTGGACATGGAGGTTTTTTCAACTCTGCTTGTCAATCTCACCTTACTTCTCCTCTGGAACCCGCCCATATCAATATTTGTGCATTATGCACATTCTTGCAGGTTCCACACGTTTTCCATGATGACTACTTAAACTTGCAGTTAATTTAGGGGCAATTTAACTGCAGTTGTTAGATGATAAGACCTGGTGTGTGAAAAAGTCATGGCAAAGGGCACAGAAATTGAGGAACGAGTGGATCTTGAAGAATAAAATTATATGGAAGAGATAGACGATGATGTTCTAGATCAACTAGATGAGGATGGAGAAGATGATGTTGGAGATGCACATGCTGAAGAAAATGTTGAAGAGGAGTATGAAAACTCAAAGCCTGAGGGCAGTCAGAAAGATCAATCTCCAGAGGCAGATAGAATCGTTGCCAACACTGAACCTGCAGAAGATGAACAAAAGCCCACTGCTTCTGTTAATGAAGAGGAAAAAGAGAAGCATGCTCAACTTCTTGCCCTTCCTCCCCATGGTTCTGAAGTTTTCATTGGTGGTCTTCCAAGGGATGTGATTGAAGATGAATTGAGGGATCTTTGTGAACCAATAGGCGAAATTTTTGAGGTCCTAATTTTGTTGATTTGTACATGAGATATATTCGTGTTTCTTTCCTTTTTGGCATTGCTCATTTGGTTTTTGTTTTGGCATGTTTCAGATAAGGCTAATGAAAGATAAAGACTCTGGTGAAAGCAAGGGTTTTGCATTTGTAGCTTTCAAATCAAAAGAGGTTGCTCGAAAGGCCATTGAAGAGCTTCATAGTAAAGACTACAAGGTACTCATGATTTGGTTCAGCAATTTAATCACTCGTGAGTTTTTTGTTAATTTTTTTATTTTTTATTTTTAACTAACTTTGTAGCATCATCTGCAGGGAAAAACCTTAAGGTGTTCAATATCCGAAACTAAAAATCGACTGTTTATTGGTAATGTTCCAAAGAACTTGACGGAGGATGAATTTAGAAAGATAATCGAGGAGGTCGGTCCTGGGGTGGAAGTTATCGAGCTTATAAAGGTGGAATTTGGAATTGAAAAGTTCTCTCACCTCTCAATTAGATAGTGACCGCTTACTTTGCTAACGCTATTTTCCGCTTAATTTCAGGATCCTCAAACTCCTACTCGTAATCGTGGTTTTGCTTTTATATTGTACTACAATAATGCCTGTGCTGATTATTCAAGGCAGAAAATGTTAAATGCCAATTTTAA